CTGGTGGGCGCAGTGCAAATAGCGGGCGGCGGAGCGCGACCGCGCCCCATTGTAAAAGTAAAATTGTATTTAGACAAGTCATTTTTAATACTTATTACGCGGGTGTAATAAATTACGGTCAAGTGCGAGCAGGACTATAGATTGTTTTTTTTTAACAAATTCTTAAAGAAGGATGTACTCAATTTAACTGTATTTTTTTTAATGGATGGTAATGGAATGGTAACCCCGCCTGCATTAACGGTATACGCTGACGGAGCTCCATTGAGGGATGGTAGATAAGAAAAAAAGGCAGGTCAGTTAGTCCAACGTGATAAATACAACTGGAATTTAGCGCGATGGTTTCCAGGGGGAGCTTGTGGAGGTCGACCTGACAGTGTATATTGCTAGCAATAAGACTGGTAGTCCGTATTACTAACAACCCCCCCCCCCCCCAAATATACCTTACTGCTAATCCATTATACTTCTGACGCTCGTTGATGTCTTTTGTACAGCGACGATTAGAATGTACATGAAACTGAGTAGTGCAGGCGAACCGGCAGTTCTCAAGTGCTTTCAGCGCTGATATTCAGTTTGCACCTGCATTTATTTATGAGATTTGAAAGACTAGCTCCTTAAAAAGGTATATTATTTATTTATTCATTCATTTATTAATAAAAAATTTCTCACTGTACTAGGTTGACTGGAAGAGATCTCTGTCAGAGATAAGTCCACCCTTGCTTACAATATTTATAAATGTATTAACAATGTAATTTACAAGTGCAATAAAGAATATATATACCAGAGGGAGACATTGTACAAAAGTCGATTGCTTGGGTACCTCTGTCCCATTCGTGTTTTAACCGTGAAGCAGTTGTGTTTGCATGGCTGTGTTTCGGTTTGAAGGGTGGGATAGGGTGTGAATTTACAGGGTACAGAGGAATAACACCTGAGTCCTCAGGAGTGGCAACGCATGGGGGGTATCATGGGCGAAACAGTACACTCTGTTATATCCATGTTACTGTTCATGTCTATAGGCGACGGTTACACTTTCCATCAGGTGGGCCGTCAGCTTGTTTGCCATTCTAAGTTGTATAAAAAAAAATATAGAAATAATTTTAACATTAGGCCGACCTGATAGATTGATAGCAATGGAAACTAACCTGTCCATTACTAACAATCTCTTTCCCTCAAGGGAGCGTGCCGTCTCGTCTGTCAAAATTATGTACTCTAATACATATTTTTGACAAACGAGATAATACTGGGATGGGCACGATAATTCTGGGACATAAGGGACAGAGGTGGGCATGCCCACCTCTGTCACTTAAATTCATATATGAAATAAATTCATATATACATCAACCTGTATATACTCCGAAAATGTTTTAGAATACAGTCGCTAATTGAATGTGATCCAGCGCTAAGTTAGGCTCTCAATAGATTTGTATTTTACTTAAAGCTAACTGAATGTAAAGTAAATAAGTATAGTATAAGTTGGATAAGGAGGAGGAGTATAGTATAAGGAACGAGGGTGGTAGGCCCGTATCCACTTCTTCTTCTTCCATTCTCGCAACTTCGAATATGGATTCGTCAAAGATCCGCTGACATACAAAACCAAAGATGGATACAGGATACTGATTGCAGACAATCAAAATTGGCCGTACCTACGTTGAATCAACGACTATCAAAACGTTTATTACATCTAAATAATGATAGGGACAATAACGGGTCGTTGTCCATTAAACAAACATTTATACACAATAGGAGCCACAGACAGCCCTCTATGTCGAGGCTGTTTCAACGCCGAACAAACGGCTGCTCACGTAATCCTGGAATGTGAGGCTGTGGCCCATCAACGTTTAGAAATCCTCGGAACGGTAAGGTCGCTCTGTGAGGCCTGTGAAGATCCCAGGAAGCTTCTGCTGGCAGTGCAATCGGATGGCAATCAAGCTGACGGTCCACCTCAATAGTAGACATGAGCAGTACCATTGACATAACAGAGTATACTATTTCACCCATGATACCCCCCATGCGTTGCCATTCCTGAGGACTCAGATGTTATTCCTCTGTACCCTGTAAATTCACGCCATATCCCAAGTTGGCTGTACTAGCCACGACTCATACGCACAATGGTCCAAATGAGAGGCTAAGCGCGGAAAATAGAGTCTTTTTCAAATTCACATTTAGTATAAGTTGTAATGTATTCTAGGAATGGGTAATATATAGCAATATTTATATATATAATAATAATAATAAAGTAGTTTATTTTCTTCACAATACCAATAGTACATCTAGTATATTCAGTGTAAGTTATTGTAAGAGATTTTTGAATTCATATTTGAAGATACATTTCAGTTACAATATCTACATATTGGTCCAATAATGAATATGTTAAAAGTCTGTTATTAAAAAAAAATGTATAACAGACTTTTAACATTTTTTAAAATTGATATCCGACCGATAGGGGCGATATCGAGATAGGTGATGACCTGATTCCCGCCATCAATGTGCAGAGGGACCCAATATTTATTTATTTATAAAAGACACACCCGGCAATATGCTCACAACAATTAAGCAGCCAATGTACAATGTTATAAGTAAAAAGTGAAAAATTACTATTAAAAAATGCTTAAATCTAAGTTTACTTGAACAAAAACATCTCACTCCTCACTAGCAAGCTTAAGGCCATATGAACACATCAATTAAAGGTGTATACAGCTCTCACAGATATTGGGGGGAAGGTATCGTTAGTAATGCGGGCTACCAGTCCAATTGCTAGCAATATACCCTGTCAGGTCGACCTCCGCGCGGTCCCCCCTGGAAACCATCGTGCTGAGTTGGCATCCAGATGTATTCATTACGATGGGCTGACTGACCTGCTTTTATTTCATTATTCACCTATCATCCCTCACTGGTGCCCCGCCAGCGTATACCGTTAGCGCAGGCGGAGATACCACTCCATTCATCATCCATTAAAAAAAAAAGCTCTCACAGATAAGCGTCAATGTATACTAATATATATATATAGATACATATATAGATATCGGATCGATATCCATGTTACTAATGCCTATGAATATGTATTTATATATTTATACGAATATATGGATTTAAGTACATATCATAACTTAAAATGTACATTTATATATTCACATTATTGTATATATATATATATATATATATATATATATATATATATATATATATATATATATATCTTTATGTTATTAAGAAAAGAACATAGTTTCGTGCCTCCAGTCAAACTGTTTATAATTACTCCTCTCCATCCAAAGGTTGCCTGGAAGAGATCGCTATTTTCTTGTTATTGTTTGTATCTATAATAAGTTTACTATTGTAATCTTTTGGAGGAAACAATAAAGAGTATCTATCTATCTATTGTTGTACTTATATAATTTCAATTGTTAATAATAATCTACAAATCTTATTACAGGATACATAAATAAATAAGTGGTTTGTAAGAATCTCCTTGGAAGTATCATAATTTTTTTTAAATAATTAAGTAGATTTTGACCAATATATGATTAATATCAAGCGTGATGGAAATGTGTGCGTAACTGAGTGCCATTCGCGGAATGCGAGCGTAGTGGAATGAATTCCGCGGAATGCACGCGCAGCCGATAGGGTTGTCAACGTGACAATTAAATAGACTAATATACTTTTCATTGTACAGTACGGTACATAAAAAATAAAGGTATTTTATCATATGTTTGTGATATATTCGTAGAATTTACATTTTCACCAGAGGGAGACTTTGTACAAAAGTTGATTGCTTGGGTACCTCTATTTCATTCGTGTTTCTACCGTAAAGCAGTTGTGTTTGCATGGCTGTGTTTCGGTTTGAAGGGTGGGATATCACGTGAATTTACAGGGTACAGAGGAATAACACCTGAGTCTTCACTAATGGCAACGCATGGGGGTATCATGGGCAAAACAGTATACTCTGTTATGTCCATGGTACTGCTCATGTGTATAGGCGACGGCTACCACTTTCCATCAGGTGGGCCGTCAGCTTCATTGCCCACTCTAAGTTGTATAAAAAAAAAACTTAAAACTATGTTAGTACGTGGTTATACTTCTGCATCTGTCCACTGGACATGTTGCGCATATGGGCAGTCCAGTCTGTTCATAATCATGTCTAGGATGCTGTTGGTAGTCCTTTGCACCCTGCGTATCAGAGCTGTGCTCTATTAGTTAATTAGTTCAGTGCACTGGTAATTTTAAAACACCACCAAAGCTTAACTGCGGTTGCCAACCCGCCTACAGTGGCAACTACTGGCCAAATCCTCCTTTTAATATTAACTAGTTATCTTTAACTTTATAATTCGGGTGGAGGAGGGATTGTTCGGATTGATACCTGCTGCTGATTTTCACCACCGTACAACCCGCCACAAACTAAAGTTTCATCCCAACCATCTGGACGAGTGGCGGTCCTCCACCGTGCGTTTTTCAAGGCACTTTCTTCCGCGCACAACTACTCTTCGGAATCAACTTCCAGCACCTTTAAGAAAGAGCATATACCTTTTTAAAAGGCCGGCAGCACACCTGGAATGCCTTTGGTGTTGTGGGTGATCATAGGCGGCGGTAGTCACTTACCACCAGACGAGCCGCATGCTCATTTGCCCCCTGTGTTTAAAAAAAAAATTGGAATTAGTAGCCTCATTGCTAACAATATACCCCGTTAGGTTCACATTTTCTCGCTTTCCCTGAAAATCATTGTATTCAATTCCAGGGGTATTCATTCTGATGGGCTAACTGACCTGCCTTTTCATCCTCACCTATCATTTTTTACTGGTGGCTCAACAGTGTGTACCGTTAGCGCAGATGGGGTTTACCAATTAATCTTCTCTAAAAAAAAAAAAAAAAATTAAAAACGCTGAAAATAAATCCACGAAGACGTATTTTACATCCGTCAAATGTAATATTTATGTATTAGAAAAGGAGACGTTACTTAATTTTCACAAAGGAGCACTTTCTACTGCCATAATCTTTGTTCAGAGGCGCACACGAGTCGCGGCGCCTTTCTTTCACCAGTCGAGAGACACGCGACGCGGCGAGCGCACGCGCCATGCCTGACGGTTCGGTGACAGCTTGACAGTTGTGCAGTGACAGTTTGACAGTGCAACCATGACAGTGACACGAGCCAGTCTGCTGCTCTTGCTGGCTACTCTCCCGGCGGTACTGTGCCAGGATGAGTCGTTCACGAGCTCCTTGCTTTCCGGTGAGTACATCACTATTTTGAGATAGGTCGGGTATTTGGGTCAAATACGCGGCCGTGAATATCGATCAGTGTATTGTATCTGTGTCAATGAACTAGTGGTGTGATAACAGTATAGTTTATTATACGTTTGGACTGATTCTCGTCGATCGGTGGGCGTCCTAGTATAATGATAATACGTCTACTTCGTGTAGTGATGAAATCATAATACAATTACGCATTTACGGAGAGAAAAGACTGTTAATACTGAAGAATGAATGAGTGAATGAGTATACTTTATTTGCATTATACAATATAGGGAAAAAACAAGACAGTAAATAAATACAACGATACAATTGTATAAGTACAGTGAGGCGGTCTTATTGCTGAGAGCAATCTTTTCAAGACAACCTTAGGGTAATGGACTAATTATTGTACAAGTAGGTATTGTATAATTAAGAAAACAGTATAAAACATTAAGGAAAATAATCATAAGTATTAAATATATATAAATATAATAGTCGAATTAAAAAAAATGATTAACCTATATATAATACATAATCAAAGACATGTTAAATATGTACCTAATATTAGTGCCAGCATGGTCCAATTGCTAGCAATATAACCTTACAGGTCACATCCAAGCGATTCACCCTGGAAACGAACGTGGTCATTTACGAGTATTGTTGATTTTGTCACGATGGGCTTGCTTCATCCTCACCTATCACCTCTCTTTGGTGCTCCGCCAGAGTATACCAATATCGCATAATATTTTGTTTTCGTTAATTAAAAAAATCTACAACTAAAAATCTACAATCTATCTTTGGTTTGGTCATTTGGAGAGGATGGATGAAAGAAGAATTACGAAAGAGATTTATCGAACAAGAATGAATGGAGATGTCGGTAGGGGCCGCCCTAGACGGACGTATGTTGACCAAACAGGCGACATGCTGAAGAAGGGCCAAATTAAAAGTACCCGTAACCGGCGAGCGTGTATGAAGAGATTGATGAATGTGGAAGAAGCGCAAGAGGTTTGTTTGAATCGAAGCATTTGGCGTTCCATTGCTTCTGCCTACCCTAATGGGAGACAGGCGTGACGGATATGTATGTATATATGTGAAAGAATCTACATCTCTCCATATCCACTATGTTGTAAAATTCTGAGATCGAAGAACATGCACCTGTGTAAGAGAACAAAATTAATATGAAATTGTATACCAAGCCGCCTGGCCTGATAGATGGATGGATGGATCGATCGTTTGAAGCAATAACAAATGAACAGATTTGAATGAAATTTGGACCACGAGTAGGTTAGGAGAGGTACCCAAGCAAATGGCAGAAAGGTTCGCTCCCTAAATTGGTAAATCAATTCAACTGAGAATTCGAATCCAAGAATTTGTTTATGCAAAGCAATATGCTAGGTACACCGTTAAAACGATATGGTCGTCGATCGCCTAGTTTTATATATATATATATATAAAGATTTGATTGTTTATTTCTTTGGTAATTGTCTATTGCTGAACATAGGCCTCCCCCATATAAGTGGTTTTGTCAATAGTTGCCACGCTTGACAGATGAGTTGGCAACCTCAGTTAGGCTTTTGGAAACATTTTAAGAGGGACGCTGCTACCCATCCCTCATCCTCCCTTAGTCGCTTCTTACGACACCCACGGGAAAGGAAGGGGTGACCTGTCCTATGCCTGGACCACACTTTTTCAGGGTAATATATTGACCATTGAGTAAGAATATACCGTGACACCCATGATATTTCTCCTATGTTGTCATTTCTGAAAACCTAGGTGTTACGATTCTGTATCTGGATTCATTATTATTACGGTAGAAACACGAGTGGGACATAAGTACCCAGTTTGTATTACTGTTAACTATGCCAGATTTATTAAGTATTACCATTTGTAAAAGAAACAGTTAAATTTTAGTAATAAAAAAAAATATGCGGCCAAAGACAGAGCGGGTCGCAAGTTAACCTGTGGTATGTACAATGAATAGACTATAAACTTCGACTAAAACAATAACAAGTTGAAAGTCATGGCCGGTCATAGACAATGATGTTTCTTTTTAAATCGAGAACAAGGCTTCGTTACTTGTTCTTATTTTAAAATATTTAGGTTAAGAGTGTTTTAATCTATGCGCGTTTTCCTGTTAGCAATCTCAGAATTAAGTTTTTATAGTACGGGGAATTAGTAACAAGTATTGGTAAATATAACTAGTTTTTGTCTGCTACATCGTATGTGTAGATATCAAAAGCAGGAAAACCAATAAAATTAATCATTTGTTTATAACATATCAAGATAAAACATTCCTAGTGTATTGTATGTGTGTATTTTAAGGTGAACTTTCAGGAATACAATTGTGAAAGCTGCATTCAATTTGGTGTAGTAATTCTACGTGATACTGGAACAAATATATAAATAGATACATAAAAATATTGTTTTTGCACCTATTGGTCTCACTAAGACCTCTCATATTAATTTTCTTAAATAACTTCCACGTAGAGACATGGCACGGCATGGCAGTGTTTCGCGGTAAGGTACTGAAGACAATGTAGATGTAATGTTTGATAGTATTGCCTAGTCTTGCTTTATATTTGTACCAGTTACCAGAGGGAGACTTTGTACAAAAGTCGATTGCTTGGGTACCTCTGTCTCATTCGTGTTTCAACCGTGAAGCAGTTGTGTTTACATGGCTGTGTTTCGGTTTGAAGGGTGGGATATGGCGTGAATTTACTGGGTACAGAGAAATAACACCTGAGTCCTCAGGAATGGCAACGCATAGGGGGTATCATGGGCGAAACAGTATACTCTGTTATGTCCATGCTAGTGCTCATGTCTATAGGTGACGGTTACCACTTTCCATCAGGTGGGCCGTTAGCTTGTTTGCCATTCTAAGTCGTATAAAATAAAAAAAACAAAAATAAAGGGATCTCTAACAGTCGTCCTTTGAGAAGCTAAAAAAAAACTATAGAATGTACAAGGGTAAAAACCGTAAAAAACGTAAAAAAAATCTTTTAGCCTTTTTCGTGTGTTTGCGTCACAAACATCAAAACATGTTTACAAACTTTAAGATCTTATCTGTATGTATCGATTTCAGACAAACTAATTTAAGACTATTTTTTGTCTACAACTTTATATATTTGTTGTTGCCAAAATTCGCTGGCGTATCAAGATAAACAAATTTTTTTTCAAGTAAATTTAATTATAATATCATTTTAGAATAGTAATTTTAGTAGTATTTAGTAGTTTTTTATAAAGCTACCGTCCGTAGTAGAAATTCAACTGAAAATAACTGGCAAAATCTCAGTCGACGCTTTTTTAAAATAAACGTTAAATTTATAAGGTAAATAAAACTTACAAGTTTAAACATACATCTACTTTTAAGTTAAACGTTCGGGAATTTAATGCAATAACGTTTGCGCGATGCCGGAATAAACTTGAAAAATTATTGTTTTGACTTCTACTGTCCATATTAAGACCCCTCATATTTTTTTATTTAAATATTTTCTATATATATTTATTATCTAATTACAATTAACCAGAGGGAGACTTTGTACAAAAGTCGATTGCTTGGGTACCTCTGTCCCATTCGTGTTTCTACCGTGAAGCAGTTGCGTTTGCATGTCTGTGTTTCGGTTTGAAGGGTAGGATATGGCGTGAATTTACTGGGTACAGAGGAATAACACCTGAGTCCTCAGGAATGGCAACGCATTGGGGGTATCATGGGCGAAACAGTATACTCTGTTATGTCCACGGTACTGCTCATGTCTATAGGCGACGGTTACCACTTTCCATCAGGTGGGCCGTCAGCTTGTTTGCCATTCTAAGTTGTATAAAAAAAAGACAATTAGATACTGAAGCATTTCACAGTAAAATATCCCTCAGCAAGGAATATACTCAGTAGGGAATTTTTTGACTAAGTTTTATATTGGCCGGATTTGTTTTTAATAAAGGTAGCATTCACTGTATTGTAGTACGCATAGTAGCTTTGTGTGGGTGAAATACTCACACATGCGAGGCCAATTTGATAATAATACATAATAATTCTACATTTTTTGAGTTATGTGTCTGAGGCAAGCACTGCCATATTTTGTATTACTGTATTAGTGAAATAAATAGCTTCATTGTTATTAACTTGTAGTTATTTTTATATAAATAAGCCTTAGTTTTTCTGTTAAAAATAAATAAATAAATTTATTATAATGTATACAGATATTTAAAAGCTGCCATCATTTTTCTTTTCTCTCCTACCCAAGTGTTGCCTGGAAGAGATTGCTTTAGGGATCAGACCGCCTTTTGTACTTCGTAAATGTAGTTAAATATTAATTAATTATTAAATATTGTTATTATCTTTATAAATATTCTTTAACTGGTGCAATAAAAAGAGTATTTAATAAATAAATAAAATTATTAATAAATTACTAAAGCGATTTTCCACCGGTAGGTGTCAATGTTTAATTCAATCCTCATGTGTAGATGTAAATGAATGATCAATAATATGTTTGTTTAATAATAGCAAGCGTATGGTAGGTGGAACCGCCGCGCTATATGGGCTGCTATAACGGTGTCGACTCCGTTAAATGTATGCGAGCTCTCCAAGTAGACCTCGCACGCAGCGCCCGCGCACAGCACAACACACACACGCACACACACACACACAACCACACGCACACATACACACATATACACATACACACACGGCGAGCTGCTTATTTTGTTTAATTGTACCTTTTTTTATGCAACTTAGAATGACAAACAAGCGTTGTGCACCTGATAGAAAGTGGTAACCGTCGCCTATAGACATGAGCAGTGCCATGGACATAACAGAGTACACTGTTTCACCCATGATACCCTCCATACGTTGCAATTCTTGAGTACTCAGTTTTTTTTTGATGGGTGAAAATGGTATGGTAACTCCGCCTGCGCTGACGGGATACGCTGGCGGAGCACCAGTGAAGGGTGATAGATGAGAATGAAAACAGGCCAGTTAGCCCATCATGATGAATTCATCGG